GTGGCCCCGGGCTTCGCACGGACCTTGTCGCCCTACCAGGCCGACTCCTACGGCTTCCCGGGCTCCCCGGGCGTCCACAGGACCCTGATGACCCCCCCGAACCTGTGGAGCCTGCGCGCCAAGCCCGGGTCGGCCCGGATGCCCAGGCAGGACCTACGCGGCCCGTGGCGGCCCGTGGAGGAGATCGGTGCCTACTCGTTCCCGGTCCCGGGGCGCCGACCCTCGCCCCGCAGGTTCCCCGATCGCTACTACGGGGGGAGCAGCCCGGGCCACCGGTCCGAGGGCCGCGACAGCCCCTTCTACGCCAGCTACAAGGCCGACAGCTTCTCGGAGGGCGACGACTTCTCCCAGGGCCACCTGGCCGAGCCCCCCTTCCTGCGCGCCAGGGGCCCCGCCTACCCGATGCCCGGCTACGCGTCCAGCGAGGGCGACGGGGAGCGGCTCCCGGGGCAGCTGTGCGGCGTGGCCAGCCCCGAGCCTGAGCAGAGCCTCCAGAGCTCCAGGGATTCCCTGGAGCCCAGCTCCATGGAGGGCTCCCCCGAAATGCACCCCGAGGCCCGCCTGAGCCCCCAGCCGACGTTCCCACGCGGGGGCGGCGCGGGGCTCAACCGCAAGGATAGCCTCACGAAGGCCCAGCTCTACGGAACCTTGCTCAACTGAACACCTGCAGGCCCGCAGGCCAAAGCTGGGGGCACCCGCCACCCATCCCGCACCCCAGGGCGCTGCCCCGCCTGCCCCCAGACACCCCTCCTCCTGGCCCTGCCCACGAAGACCCCTCTCCCACCTGACCCAGTGCAGAAACCCAGTGCAGCCCCCCCAGTGCAGCCCCAGAAGACCCCCGCCGCGCGTGTCCCTGCAGCCCCACCACGCGGGAACTCACACCAACATCTCTCCCCACCCGAGATGAGCATTCCCCCTTTTATAAAGTGAAACTATTTTTCTAGAGAAAAAGGGTCTTTCTTAACGCACTTGGCCTCCAACTCCCTGGACGGCAGCCTTGGCGTTTTCAACACAAAGCTCCTTATTTCTCGGGCGAGGGTAAGTGGGGCCTGGCCCTTGGAGGGAAGGACAGTGTCCCGTGGAGACACCCAGAAAGCCAGTGACAAGGGAACCCCGAAGCTCTGTCCACAAGGAGGGGAACCGAACGGGTGACGGGATGTGAGACGTAAACTGTTTCCGCGCGTGGCGGACACGGCACCCCCAGCTAGCTCTTCCGTGGTCCCTCGTCCCGAGTGGGGCTGGTGCTCGTCCCCCCAGTGTCCTGCTCCCAGCACCACCTCGCTCTACCTCAGACGCAATGAGGCCCTGACTCCCGTTTCTGTGGCTTGCTTTCCTGTCGTCCGTGATGCATGCCGTCTTGGTACTGTACCGACACTCACAATACAGGACATTGGTGCAACGTACTGTATTTTACATCCATTGATACAGAACATTGGTGGAAATTACTGTATTTTACATCCATTGATACAGAACATTGGTGGAAATTACTGTATTTTATGTCCATTGATAAAGGACATTGGTGGAAATTACTGTATTTTACATCCATTCATAACATTGGTGGAAATTACTGTATTTTACATCCATTCATAAAGGACACTGGTGGAAATTACAGTATTTTACGTCCATTGATAAAGGACATTGGTGGAAATTACTGTATTTTACGTCCATTGATAAAGGACATTGGTGGAAATTACTGTATTTTACGTCCATTGATAAAGGACATTGGTGGAAATTACTGTATTTTACGTCCATTGATAAAGGACATTGGTGGAAATTACTGTATTTTACGTCCATTGATAAAGGACATTGGTGGAAATTACTGTATTTTACGTCCATTGATAAAGGACATTGGTGGAAATTACTGTATTTTACGTCCATTGATAAAGGACATTGGTGGAAATTACTGTATTTTACGTCCATTGATAAAGGACATTGGTGGAAATTACTGTATTTTACGTCCATTGATAAAGGACATTGGTGGAAATTACTGTATTTTACGTCCATTGATAAAGGACATTGGTGGAAATTACTGTATTTTACGTCCATTGATAAAGGACATTGGTGGAAATTACTGTATTTTACGTCCATTGATAAAGGACATTGGTGGAAATTACTGTATTTTACGTCCATTGATAAAGGACATTGGTGGAAATTACTGTATTTTACGTCCATTGATAAAGGACATTGGTGGAAATTACTGTATTTTACGTCCATTGATAAAGGACATTGGTGGAAATTACTGTATTTTACGTCCATTGATAAAGGACATTGGTGGAAATTACTGTATTTTACGTCCATTGATAAAAGACATTGGTGGAAATTACTGTATTTTACGTCCATTGATAAAGGACATTGGTGGAAATTACTGTATTTTATGTCCATTGATAAAGGACATTGGTGGAAATTACTGTATTTTACGTCCATTGATAAAGGACATTGGTGGAAATTACTGTATTTTACGTCCATTGATAAAGGACATTGGTGGAAATTACTGTATTTTACATCATTAATAAAGAACATTGGTGGAAAGAATCTGGGTTTGGGCTGTTTCGTCTCCCCACTGCCTTTATTTTTTATTTTGAAAAATATATCTTTATTGATTTCAGAGAGAGGCAAGGAGAGGGAGAGAGATAGAAACATCAATGATGAGAGAGTCATTAATCGAGCCCGCAACCCGGGCACGTGCCCTGACTGGGAATCGAACCCCAATCACCTGGATCCTAGGTCAACGCTCAACCGCTGAGCCACGCCCAGCCGGGCTCCCATGTGGAGCCCACCTTTAGATCTCAGACGCATGTGGCCCTGGGTGTCCTTCCCACCCTTGTCCTTCGCTCTCTGCAACCAGGACTGGCTCCCGACAACTCTCCTTCCCGCGCCCGGCATCTCGTCGCGAGTTTGAATTCCTCCGCTGTCTCAACCCCTAGATGTGATGACAACCCCATTCCTTCCGGCACCTCGGCCCTCACTTCTGCATTTAGTGCGGCTCTGCTGGTGGCCAACTTCCCAGCTTCCACTTCTCTGAAGATGCCTTTGCTCTGCCGTGTTCGGAGGTGTTCTCACCCGGGCCAATGTCAGCAGGTGGTCACTCTCCCGCTGCACTGGGGATGTCCTCTGCACTGTCCTTCCTGGTGGCTGAGGACTTGCCGTCTGTCCCCCAGAAGCTGTTCCTGTGGTGCTAATTGGCCTCATCTCTCCAGACATGTGAGATCTTCCTTCTGACGGGTTCTCTGCAGCTGCCCCGAGGTGTGTCTGGTTGTGGATTTGTCCTTCTCGGGAATTCACAGGGAGTCTTGTGTCTGGGGGTTGGTGTCTTTCATCAGTTCGGGAATATTCTCAATTATTCTAAAAAAAATATTTCTCTGCCCACTCTCTCCCTCCCCTCCTCACCGCATCCCCTGTCCGGTGCTCGCTCCGGAGGACCCCGTGCTCCGTACGCACACACTGTCCACGAATCCTTTCCTGTTGTGCCCATTAACCTACCAAACACTGCCGCTGAGTTTTTAGTTTTCGTTATGACTGTTTTCCATTCCTACAAGTTCTACCTAGTTGTTTGGCAAACCCACCATGCTGCTAACAGTTTCCTAGTCCCTGGAGATACGTCCTTAAACAGCGGGCACACAGTTCACGGTCTGGGCCTGGAGGGCTATGCGTGGGTCTGTTTCTCCTGGCTCCTGCCCACGCTCTCATTCCCCCCATGCCTGGTTATCTCTCACTCCCCGAGGATGCACTTGTAGGTTCTGTAAGACCTGGGATGGAGGCCCCTCCTCCAGGGGCTTCATGTTTGCTTCTCCCCGGGGCCTGCCACTTCCCACTGGGGCCCACCTCAGCGGGTGCATGCCTTCAAGTTCCCTGGCCCTGGCCCACCTGGCGTCACATCTCCAGGGTGAGTTTGCCTCTTGCCAGGCAGCCCCAAGTAGGAGGGGCCTTGGCTGTGGCTCCAGCATCCCTGCCCTTGACCTGCCTCTGCAGAGGAGGCCAGAGCTGGCCCAATGCTCTCCCCCAGGAGCAGACTCACCCCAGGAAGCAGCTTCCCGGAGCCAGATGGGGCTGTGGAGGCTCAGGAGTCCGATCCCCTCCCTGGGGCCATTTCCCCATGGGCAGATGGAGGAAGAGACCCTCACTGGACTAGGGGCAACTAGGGCGGTGAGGGGAAAACAGTAGCCCCTGGCACCCAGGGGGTGCTCTCTCAGAGGCCTTCCCATGGGGAGCCTGAGCATCATCAGTCCCCAACCCCCACGTCAGCCATGCAACTGGGCAGCACGGTTAGGGTCCTGGCCCGTGTCACCTCCAAGCCTGAGGCTCCCCTAAGTGACCTCCACACCTCATGGAGCTGGCCCGCCCTGGTATCTAGAGCCAGCTGCCGCTGATGTGGGTACTCTCCTCTACCATCCACCCTTTCTCCCTGCACTCAGAATCCTCCAGCACCCGGGGAAACCCCATGTATGCACCCGCCATCTACCCACCCGCCCACGTATGTTCCTCTTCCACCCCGTGGGGCAGTGCACAGTGGGCTCTGCCACTAGCTGGCCGTGTGGCTCTGGGAAAGTCCCAGGCGCCTCTGGTCCAGTTCCCCGTCTGGAGCCTAAGAACAGGGACGATGAAGTTCCCAGGGGTCCCTACACGGGTAACAGTCCCACACAGAGCCCCAGGCTGGGCCAGAGGGGGTCCCGAGGGAGGGAAGGGCACAGGCTCTGGAGTCAGATGGCCCTGGGTGCGTCCCTCTGTCCTCAGAGCAGCGGTTTCAACTGGACAGAGGTGATCGTGCCCACCTGCCGGGGCTACGAGCATGAGCTCCACTCACCACAGCCACAGCCATGGCCAGGCCTGGCAGCACACGCAGCCACGTTGGCATCTCCAGGTGATGTGTTCTTCCCCCACGATGGCCTCGGATCGGCGGTTCAGATGGATGAGCGCGGCAAAGTTGGGCCAGCCCAGGTGGGTGGTGCAGGCACAGCCCACACTTCTCTTTCATCCCTGCTCCACACTTTCTAAATTTAGCTCCTATTTTAAAATTGCAAGTGAACTCCCAGCACCTTGTGGAGGGGCCAGAGCGAGCCTTTAAGGATGCTCTTTGGAAGAAAGTGTTTAGAAAAAGCAACAGGTAGAGGCATAGAGTACACCTGCCACCCTTCCCAACAGTCACCTAGCCCAGGGGAGGCCGTGCAGCCAGCTGGCACCTCAGGCCCTGAGGTGATGCAGCCCACGGAGCAGCACTGAGAACAACCACTGTGGCTTCTGGGGAGCCCTGGATGTCTCCCCGCCCCATGAGGGTCAGAGCTCTGGTCGGTTCAAGGTGACCAGTGTGGAAAAGAAACGAACTCGGGGCGGCTACACTGACAGCAGCCTGGGCCTGGAACCCAGGTTCAGGGAGGCGAGGCTGGTGCCTCCCGCCCCATCCATGGGTCTGCTCCTCAGTTCTCTGCATTTCCTCACTGACTCCCCTGCTTGGGATGCCCTCCTCACCAGCTCACCACCTGCCTCCTCCAGGATGCCTTCCAAGGCTGCAGGGACCCCTCTGCCCTGAGCCATGGCACCTGTAGTCCCCCTCACCTTTGGTGGACCCTTGGGCTGTTGGGGCAGCCCTTCAATTATAGTCCTGGTGGGGTTCAATGCTCAGCAGCCTGTCCAGATCCCACAGCTGGGCCTTCCCAGCCTGAGCCCTCGAGGTTCCCCAAGGGCCCTGTGCTTCTCCATACCACTCCTTCACTCGGGCAGACGCACTCGCGTGGGCAGAGTGCGCACCTGACGGGCTGCGGCAGACCGGGACCCAGCTGGCCGTGTTCCGTGGGGAGGGAGGGGGCCTGAGCAGGCCAAGCTGGGTCGGGCCCTGTGATACTGGTGGGCCTCCCGTGCTCTGGCACAGAGGTCCCAAGGACAGACCCGAGGCCCAGAGCTCCCTACTTTCCCAGGACCCCTCATCAGGACACAAAGAGAGGGGCTGCCCCTGGCTCCAGCTCCCACATTCTCGTTTTGGAGCTCCAGTGGCCGCAAGTGGGGCAGCGAGAGGAACAGCCGCACACAGTGATACTGAGTCCAACTGCTATCCTCAGTTTATCGCTGAAATCACCTAAGAGACAGCGAGACTCGCATGTTTACTGAGCATCACGGGCAGCGTGCCAGGCTCACTGACACAGCCTGACAACCTGAGACAAAAGGTCCCGTCCCCATTTCACAGAGGAGGAAACTGAGGCCCATGGGTGAAAGCAGCTTCCCTTTGGGGCTGACCCAGGAGTGACCTCAAGTATTTAGTTCCACCCACCCAGAAGGGGAGCCGGGCCAGGCCCATGTCCATCCATCCGTCCAGAAGGCTCTGCAGCAGGAGGCTCAGTGCCAGATCTTGATGTCCCCCTCCCAGGAGCAGGTGGCGAGGATGGAGGGCAGTACAGGGTGGAAGGTGGTGCCCACGCAGGCCTGCGTGTGCCCATGCAGCGTGCGTGCCCGGCTCGCCGTGCGGAAGCAGTAGAGCAGGACCCGGCCATCTGCGCTGCCTGTCACCAGCAGGTCTCCGTCGGGGGAGCACTCGCAGCCCACCGCATAGCCCTCCACCTGCGAAGGGCGACACAGGGTGAGCGGGCCACACCTGGGCCCTGCGCGCAGCTTCGCCCGAGATGGGGTCGTCCTGTCCACTTTAGAGGGAGAGCCCAAGCTCCTCTGGGAGACTGGGTCTGGCGTGGGCGGTGGATGAGGCTAATTCAGTGGAGTCTGGCCCGACCAGCTCCCGCACAGCAGACGGTGTCCAGCCTGACAGTCACCCAGCCCCAAGAACCTCCCCAACCCCAAGACAGGTCCACGTGAGCCAACAAATCAGGGGAAACCTTTTCTGCCTGGCGGCTGGGGCCTGGGGCAGGGCCAGATGTGGCCCAGGGCCTTGAGTGGCCACCAGGCCACACGGCATGTGGTCACCCAGGAAGCAGGACACATAATCTGCTGGACAGAGGGTCCATGCAATCTGACCCCAATCCATTGCCGGCACCGTCTGGTGGGAGGCTCTGGGCCCCTGCCCAGCTATCCCAGCCCAGGGGCTGTGGGGACAGGCAAGCAGTACCTTGTGTCCTTCGTAGCGCCGCCTTCTGCTCATCCGGTAGGGCCACACGGCGGAGAAGAGGGCCAGGTAGTTGCCGTTGGTCTGTGCCAGGAACACGGGCTCCCGCGGGTGCAAGGCCAGGCTGGGGCAGGTGTACCTCTCCTAGAAACAGCGGGGCCACGGAGGGTAAAGACTCTGCAGGCCGGGCCTGCTGCCTCTGCAGACACGCTGCCCAGCACTCTGCTCATGGGGCCCTGCGCCTTCCTCCCAGACCTTGGCTTAGGGGCCTGTATGAGTTTCCTATTGCTGCTGTAACAAACTGCTGCAAATGGAGTGGTTTAAAACAACACAAACCTATGGCCGTACGGATCCGAAGGTCAGAGGTCTGACCAGGGTCTCATCGGGCTCATCAAGGTGTCAGCAAGCGGGTTCCCTCCAGAGGCTCTGGATGGAAGTGTGCTTCTTGCACTTCCAGCTTCTAGGGGCCACCTGCACGCCTTGGCCCATGGCCCTCGTGGCGGACTGTTAAAGAGCCCGCCAAAATATACCCACGTCCTAATTCCTGAGACGTGTGAATGTCGCCTTGCATGTCTTTGCAGATGGAATTAAGAATCTTGATGTGGAGAGACTACCCTGTATTATGGCCTAAATGAGGCCACGTGTATCCTTATAAAAGGGAGGCACAGGGAGATCAGACACACAGAGGTGATGGGAACATGGACCAGGGAGCGATCTGAAGATGCTGGTGTGCAGGTCGGGGGGATGCAGCCACAGTCCAGTACCACCAGCAGCCACTGGAAGCTGGAAGCAGCAAGGGACAGATGTGCCCAGCATCTCAGAGGAAGCAGGCCCTGCCAGCACCGGGTTTCAGCCCCGTGAATACTGAAGCCAGCTGCTACCCTCAGAACTGGGAGGGCTACACTTCTGATGGTTTAAGCCTCCAGGCTTGTGGGAATGTGATATAAAGGAACAGAAACCGAATCTGCGTGCCCGTGTCCCACCTCCCCAGGGGCCCGCAGGGGCAGCCCAGCACGGCGTCCCACACAGCCACAGCGCACAGCAAGTGAGGAGGTAAACGACCGAGCGAGAAGCCAAATGCGGACAGCGTTCGATACCCCGGTGGGGAAGCCTCGGTGTTTGATGGGCTCAGCCACACAGAAGCTCCCCCGGAAACTCCCTTCTCAACTGCATCCGTCCTTTCACGTTCTAAGACCTGTTCTTAAGTTGTCTCTAAATTACCCCAAACTCAGAAGGCAAAGCAGGGAGCAGTCAGACTAATGCACTAATGTGCCCGTCAGAGGAGTGGACGCCATGGTGGCCCCATAGTGAGCGCCCTGGCGTAACGCTGCCCAGCAGAGCACTGCTCACCCACAAGGAGGCAAGATGTGATTCTAGGAGGGCCAGCACTCCATCCACCTCGCTCGCTTCCCCTGCTCTCTGCTGGGGCTGATGGAGCAGGAAGCCCTGGTGGTCAGACATGCCCCCCCCTTTTCCTCCCACGGCCTGTCCTCCCTAGGAGGTTGCACAAGACCCTGAAGTGGGCGTCTAGTGCAGGGATGGGAAACGTTGAGCCCGAAGGTCCTATATGGCCTAGAAAGCATTTGGTTTGGCCCTGCCAAGGAAACCACAGGTGGGACTCGAAATTCAATGAATCTAGGAGCTTTTTAAGCTAATTTTTAAGTTGATAATTTTGTATGGCTCGTGAATANCTCGAAATTCAATGAATCTAGGAGCTTTTTAAGCTAATTTTTAAGTTGATAATTTTGTATGGCTTGTGAATAATGTTATAAATATCCAAATGGCCCTTGGCAGAAAAAAGGTTTCCCACCCCTGATATAGAGACAGGTCTGCTCAGGGTCACTTAGGACCCTCTGAAAATAAGGGAAAAGCAGGGAGAGGGAGAAGGTGTGTATAGAACCTAACACTGTTTTTAAATTCAGGGTGGGAGCGCCAAAAGATTAGCTATGGCTTATTTGAAATCTTAAGTGATGGTGGTGTGATGACTATGGTCGTGACGACAGTGATGATGATGATGGTGATAATGGTGATGATGATGGTGATGGTTGAGATGGTGATGGTGGTGATTATGACTATGGTGCTGATGATGATGGTGATGGTGGTGATGATGGTGATGGTGATGGTGATGATGGTGGTGATGATGGTTATGCTGCCACCATCATGTGGTGGTGATGGTGATGATGATGGTGATGGTGATGATGGTGATGGTGGTGGTGATGACACTGACGGTGATGATGGTGGTGATGATAGTGGTAGTGATGATGACGGTGATGGTTGAGATGGTGGTGGTAGTGATGACCATGGTGGTGATAATGATGATGTGTTGATGGTGATGGTGGTGGTGGTGGTGATGATAGTGATGATGATGATGGTGATGGTGTTGATGATGACTATGGTCATGATGACGACGGTGAAGGTATTGATGGCGATGATGGTGATGATGATGATGGTGATGGTGCTGATGATGACTATGGTCGTGATGATGATGTGGGTGTTGATGGCGATGATGATGGTGATGGTGATGGTGATGATGGTGGTGATGACAGTGGCAATGACTGTGATAATAAGTAATGCATTTATGGAGCACTCCCTGTGCCTAGTACTATTCTAGACCCTTTATAAGTGTTCTCTCTTTTAATTCTCAAAACCACTCTATGAGACAAGTAACATTCTCTCAATTTTCTAAGAGGGAATGAAAATCCAAAAGGCTAGATAATGGGCCCAGGCCCCCAGCTTGTAATGCTGGGCCTAGGACCATAATTGATGTGTTCTCTGCTTAAACTCCTGAGTCGCAGCCCATGGCAAACCCACTCAAGAAGGGCAGAGCAGAGGCCCGTGGGCTGGCTGGCGTGGTGGAGGAAGGGTAGAGGTGTCTCGAGCTGCTCAACCATCTACCAGTCCATCTGGACTGGGCTGCCCCTCCACACCCTTACCCTGTGGGGTGGTTGTGCTGGGCAGGGACATGTGGGAGGACAGTGAGGGAGAGGCTGTAATATGGAACCTGTGGAAGGTTCTCCTGGGAGGCTTGGACTTACACTTGCTTTTCCCCTACCCTAGAGATTTCAGGCAGCCAATCTGTCCCACCTACTGAACGGCCTCCCACAGGAAGTGACCCAGGACCCCAGATAGCCTAGGGCTACATGGATGCATCCTGGGGCTGAAACTGAAAGCAAGGCCAAATGGGGTTTCTCACATGGAAAATCTGGTTGGAGATTTTGGCGGAGCTCCGGAAATCCCAGGCAATGATGGTGCGATCGGCAGAGTCCCGGCTCGAAGCATCCGTGCTGCTCAGAAACTCAGAGCCTTCCCGGAGAAAGAGGATGTCCAGGGTCTGCTGGACGGTCGCCTTGTAGCTTTTCACCACCTGCAAGAGTGGGCGCCTGTCACGCTGTGCGCCCAGGAGCACCGGGCAGGCCCCACAGGAAGGCAGAGGGCAGGCGGGTTTAGCGAGGACGGTGTGGGACAAGGCACCCCAGGCTGAGCAGCCCAAGCTGTGGAGCTGGGGGCTGGTGCAGGGACACCTTGGGGTCCTCTGGCCCCACCAGGCAAATGTCTGTCTCCCTCGGCACCTGCCCTGCAATACCTTCCACAGCCTTGCCTAACAGCACCTCCTCATGGAGAGGCCCCCTGCCATGCTCACCCCACACCCATTGGCGCTGGGTCCAGAGGGTGGTGGTGATCTCCGGTCAGATTGATCCCCTAGAGAGCCACGAAGGCGAGCTGAGGGAAGGGCCCATGCCTAGCCAAGGGCACCTAAGGGGCATCCGTGATGCCCATCAATCTGGAGCCAAACTTGTGAGAAGGTCTTGCTTCTGAAGACGGCACGTAATTCAAGCTCACGAAGCCCCAGCCTATTGCCCCTGGAGTAGAAGCTGTATCGCTGGGAGTGGATGCTCTTGAAGACTATAAAGCCAGGACCACAGCGCACAGGTTAGTCTAAAGACTTCTTTTATATCTTAGCGTCATGGCCAATATTCCAAAGCCTCCCGCCTTGTAAACTGCCGTGACTCAGTATCCGGCGCGGTTCTGCTTTCCCAGAGCATCTGTCACATTCACCAGCGGTTCTAAGACAAACAGGTGGGGGCGGGGCCCGGAGGGGCGTAGATTAACAAGAACTTCCACTTCACAGATTCACATGACTTGACTTTAAATTGCAATGCTGAGTCCCCAGTCCAGGCACAGTGACTCCAGCCTGCCTGCTGCCCTGGCCCCCTAGTTATCAGCTCCCAGGGCGCCCCCATGCGGCCAGAGCATGAACAGTTCACCGGTGCCTCAGCCCGAGGCTGAGCCATCTTGACAAATTTTTAAAAAACTGGAGTTCATAGTCTTTCAAATGTTGCGGACTTTAAATGTACATATGTCCAATGCCCATTAAATGCAGCACTCCATAAACCCAACTTAGATGGGGGTTGGGGGTGTTCGGAGGCCCATTCTGCAAATGAGAAACACTGAGGCTGAGAGAGATGCAGACTGGCCAGGGGCACACAGCCAGGTGTGGTGGAGCTTCTCCCAGTCCCAGCTGCTTCCCTGGGGCCCATATCCCAGTCTTCTGCTGGCCAATTCCTGCCTCAGTAGATTTGTCCCTCAGTTGGGACAACTTCCTGGGGAGGGTGGGCAACAAATGACTGCTCTTCTCTGAGCTTCTTCAAAAGCAGCCCCCAAAAGGGCGGTTTCTGGGTGGGCCCCTGAAGCCTGAGGGGTGGTCTGGGGGGCAGAAAAGAGAGGGCGGCCCTGCAGGCGTCTGAACATAGGGCAGGGAGACGGCGGCCCTCCTCCCTCTGTCCCTCCCTCCAGGCACCAGGATCTGCACGCCCCGCTATGCCTCCCAGCAGAGCCAAGTCTCACCAAGTTCGAATTCAGACTGGGAAGAAAGCCCCAAGGGCCAGGAGGCCACAGTGGCTGTGCTGCTGCGAGGCTCCCGCCTGCTCAGCCTGGAGCTAGGGCCGCAGTCTAAGGGCCTGGGAGGGGGCTCGGCTTCCCCAACATCTGCCCTGATAAGCTTCTACATCCTTCCAACTCACAGGAGGAGCATGTGATGTTTAGAGGCGATGATTAGAATCTACTTTGGAGGGAAGGGGGGAGGGGAGGGGAGAGGGGGAGCCCCCCTCATCATGGCTCTGAAGTAACCTTACTGGGTCCAAATCCATCCGCCCCTCTCACGCCCCTGCACTATTCTTGTCTCCCCACCACACGCCCTGTGCCTCGCTGCCCAGGCCACCTGCCCAGCCCCAGGGCTTGAGCTCCTGGGGACAGACGGCTGCCTGTCTCTGGGCTGCCCTGGCCAGCACAGCGCAGCACACTGCAGGCATCAGCAGGGTGTAGTGAATGAATATCTGGATGAGTGTCTGAGTGGATAAACACATGGATGAATGAACCAAAGAACTTGAAAAGTAGTGAGCTTCAGGCCTCGGGCTGCCAGCAACATGCTGGCTGGCACTTGGGACTGAGGCAACACCCACGGAGCTGCTGCCACCGGCTCCAGCAGGCGTCGGGGAGAAGAGACTCACTCACAGGGCGCTCCTGGGGCCCAGGACATGGAGACAAAGACAAAGGAAATCTGATTCTCCGAGGAGCTTCGAGACCACAGTGGGGTGGGAGGGAGGGCAGAGCAGCCGTGCTCAATGTCACATTGCCACTGGCAGGGCTGGCAGGGGCCTCGTACTCCCCGGTGGGAAGTCTCTTAGGGGCTGCATGGCCCTGGGCAAGCACTGGCCTCTCCGACCCTCAGTCGCCACCCCTGCAGGTGGAGACAGTGACAGGACCTCTGGTTTGGGAGTAAACAAGGTGACGTGTGCCTGGCTCAGTGGCCACCATGCAGCCGACGCTCACAAACTTTCCCATCTCGGCGGGCAGGAGCAAGTCCCCGGGATGGGGCCGCAACTCTCTGTGCAAGTCCCCTCCCCCCAGATTTCAATTCCTTCTCCCTGAAAATGCACGTGTTGGTCTCCTTCAGATGCTGAGATGGGAGGCGTCTACGCATAAGGGCAGCTGGAGGAGTGAGTGAGGGCCCCTTTCTGTGGGAAAAGTGGCCAGTCACACAGGCCAGTGCACCGAGCGCGCGCTCGGGAAATTCGAAAGGATCGGAGAGTCACATTGAAAAAGCAGCTATAGAAATACGAGGAGAAAACATGAGTGAATTTTCTATCTCCTGGGGCTGGGGGGAACTTTCCTGGTGATGACTCCAAGGCCAGAAGCAACAAGACAAAAGATGGGAAAGTCTAAGTGAAAATAATAGTAACAATAACAATAATAATAGTAATCGCTGTGGCAGGGCATAAAAGCAAGTCAATAAGCAAGTAAAAGGGACAATGGGAGAAATATTTGCAACTTATATTAGAAGCAAAGGTCATGCACTATCCCTAATATGTGACAGTTTCTAAAAACAGATGAAAGTGACCAAGAGCTCTACAAAAGAGTAAAAAGAAAGGTCAATAAAAGGAAACGTAATTGGTCCTTGGACCTTGCTCATGACCATATCATTTCTTACCTATCAAATGGGCAAAATCCTGAAGTCTGACCGCACGCTCCGTCTGGCGGCTGCGGGGCATCAGTGACAGAAATGCGACCACTGCGATCCCCGCGCAGAGGCTGGGCAGCCGCGACACGGGAACCTGCGGCCTGTCCTCCAGCCGCGGGCCTGACCCGCAGCCCGCTGAGGGGACCGGTCCCCAAGTGACAATGGCAAAGCTCCCCAAGACGCAAGCCAAGGCCCTGAAAGCAGCACTACCTGTAAGAATGAAAACGAGCCCTGCCCAGCGCCACTCCGCGGCTGGAGCATCGCCTGTGCCCCGGAGGGCGGCAGGTTTGACCTCTATTCCTGTCGGTCGGTCGGGGCACCTGCAGGATGCTTCTCTCTGTCGCCCTCTCCCCTCTCCCTCCTACTCTCTCTCTCTGGGGGAAAGAAAAAAAAAAAAAAAAGTCGATGGAAAAATAAATAAAAAATTAGAAGAACCGAAATAAGCATCAAGAAGGGACTGCTTAAGTAAGCCAGCACATCCCACTCTGGAATGCTCGGCAGCCGTAAAAAAAGGAGCCTCACCTCCCTGCCTTCTTTGCAGCGACCTCCAGATACACTGCTCAGTGCAAAAAGCACGGTGGGACGGAAAAAGGTGGACTGTAAACAGAAGAGAAGCTATAAATATAGGTATGTTTGCTTACATTAAAAACAGTTGAACGATAAACCGGAAACTAAGTAAGTAAAGGAATGAGACGGCCCAGAGGAAGGGAGAGAACAGAATGGAGGCAGGATTGGGGCCAGAACTTAGAAAATTTCTGTAAAGGGCCAAACAGTAAATATTTTAGGGTTTGTGGGCCCCACAGAGTCACCGTTTTGTGTGTGTGTGTGTGACAGTCATTTAAAAATGTAAACCACATTGGACCCAGGAGCTGTAGTTTTCTAATCCCTTCCCTAGAACAATGCATGTATTTTATAACATTATACAACCAAATTAACTTAAAATGCAGTCTTTAAAATGTGAAAAAAAAATTAAGCAAATGAAATGAACTACGAATTGAAATAGTAGCTTAACCACATAAATAGGATTTATTCTAAGAGCCATTAAAGCACAGCAATTTAACGGTAAGTCCTTAGTTGAATATACATTATGAACAGTAATTTGATGGTAAACCCTAATTAGATATGCACTGTGGACAGAAAGAACTGTGAGAAATCTCAGGCTGTTTTCAATAGTTAAATTGCTAGTGTTAATACATACCAAAAAATTGTGTTAAGGCAGATAGAAATAAAAATTTTCAGTATAAAAGAAAGAAAAAAGATATAAAAGTAAAGAAGCTAAGGAAAAGTTCTGTAATCCGAAATTTGAACTGGAAAAATCATTATTACCAATGATGTATTTTTTAACAAAACCATTTCCTAGCTGTGTCCGTGGAAGAAGCCTAGAAACAGTGACCAATCACGGCCTCAGGCTCTGTCTCTAACGCTAAACCCACAGGTGACAGATGACAGACCAGGGCGTGAGTGAGGACAGTTGCTATAAACAGGCAGAGGAGAGGCTGGCCTGGAGGGTGCAGGAGAACCCCAGCCAATGTCCAGCTGTGAAATACTCCGACGAGGCCCTGCAGAAGGAAGCATTAGCGAACTAGAAGAACACAGCGGTAGAAATTATTCAAAACAGCCCGGCCGGCGTGGCTCAGTGGCCAAGCGGCGACCTATGAACCTGCAGGTCACGGTTCGATTCCCGGTCAGGGCACATGCCCGGGCTGTGGGCTCGATCCCTAGGAGGCAGCCGATCAATGACTCTCTCTCATCTTTGATGTTTCTATCTCTCTCTCCCTCTCCCTTCCTCTCTCTGAGATCAAGGAAAACATATTTTAAAAAACAAAATTTTTAAAAACGAAATTATT